GATGAAGTATCCTCAAAATCATCATCATAGGAGGTGTCCGATTCTATCTCATCCGACAACGTCGTTGGAGGGAACATCGGAATGCTGACAACGATCGTATAACCGTGATTTCAGTGACTTGAATGGTCAGAACACCCACACGGAACCGTCCTCAGTTTTCAAGTTTATCGTGCTCATTCTCCAACCAAACGGCTTCCTCTCATTCAAACTCGGAGGTTCTCGATCTCGACTGTTATCATTCATCTGCTCTAGCGCCGATTCGATTGGACTCTCGATGGCAGATGACTGCTCGGGCATCCCCGCAGCATACGAGTTTCGCACTGAGATTCGGCTCGAACACTAATATTCGAGCATTCTTACTTTCACACGGTTTCGGTCGTCTAAGACTTGTCGGATCAGCAGGCCGTCGACTATACAGGTCGAACCCACGCTCTCTCGCTACGATGTCGCCATCATCGACAGTCATCCTACGTCGATTTCCAGTCATGGTTGATGTACTATCGCAATTGTTCACCTCCTCGCAATACGCCGCTTCTGCTCCACCAGGCGCATATATTTTGCACGTGTGGGCTTGTCGAATCTCTGCCGATACCTGTGGGAGTACGAGCCCCCGCCCGTCTCAGTAAGGCCGGGAGGTCCTGTCATTCGGTACTGGCCTTGTGAGTGTCCTACTAGATACCAATGAGGGCGTTCTAAGCATCGTATCGTGCTGACGAATACGCCCAATGCGTCGATCATCGGTTCCATCCTAATTGCACTGAACGCGATCTGATAGCTCTGAATGCTGACAGGAGTGGTCATACACGATGACATGGCAGACAACATGCTTTGACTTTTCGTTTGAATCTCCGTCATCCTGAGATGCAGATCTCAGTGCATGTCGAGGCTCGATCAGAGATCGCCGATACCCTTGGGTGTACGAGAAGATAACATTGTGGAAGCTGAGAGCTGGACGATTCAAGGACGAAAAATGAAGCTTTTCCCTTGTAAGCTAATAGAGTTGAGAGTTTCAACTTGAAACCAATGAGGCCAAAGTTCCGAGGAACAGTTTTTGAGTCGAAAATTCGAACTTCGACGACACGGGACTGCCGCGAATGGACGCGTCACTCAAGGGGGAGAAATTCTTCACTACGATCTGCTACTGTTACTAGCCAGGCTCCAGTGGTGCCTGTCTCAGGCAGGGTGGCCCGAATTATTTCATTGGCAGGCCAAGCGAAAAATTATTTTCCGTATTTTTCTTTCATTCTTCCTTCAAACTTCAATTTTTTCTCCGAACGGAATAGTTTTTCTATCTTTCCTTCCGCGTCCCACCCTATCTGCCTCCCCCAGTTGTGCGACGCTAGTGAACTGAAGGTGCAGCGGGATTAAATGGACATTACTCGCATCATCCGTCTAAATCGAGATGCAGCAAACGCCAACTGAGAAAAGTGAACATACATACGTGACAATAATTGACATGACATACATTGACAATGTCAATTTGACATATGTCATGCGAACATACATGACATATGTTGCTCAGCGGCTGAGCAACATATGTGGGATGAGCCTCAGCCGGTTCAACCAGGTCAACCAAGAGTTGCAGCATCCAGTTGAAGGTGGGGCTGCTCATAGAGACTCTATGATAGAGTTCTGCGAGATCCCCGAGCTGTCGCGCCCATATTCATTCTCCTCATAATTTATGAGGATTAATTTATGAGTCATAAACTCTTTCGAACGACACTCCCAAACGGGTTCCATTACAATTCGGAAAATCCAAACAACTGAGAAGGATAGTTACTAGCTATCCCGAATCAGCTACTAACGATATACGATCTGATTACAGTAATCAATTAGTAACTAAAATGATGCCAGAAACGTTCGTTTTGGGGCAAAGAACTTCATTGCT